AAACATACATTAAAATAAAATAAAAAATTAAAATAAAATTAACTTATAATACAGTAGCAACAGTAAACAGTGCAAAACAGTAAACAGTGGAAACTGAGTGCAAATGGAAGTAAAATAAATACAATGTGCACTGTCCTGACAAACAAACAAACAAACAAACAAACAAACAAACAAACAAACAAACAAACAATTTATAATTCATCCATGGTCAAAATCCACTAAAGACACTTGAGATCTACACACAATAACACAGTGAAAACATCTGGGTCACTGAATACACAACAATACATTTAAAGTGTGCCATGTTTGAATTGTGACGCACACTTCCTGTAAGTTACTACTCTCTTTTTTCCTATCGAGCTGACCAATCAGGGGGCTTGTAGCGATGACGACGATGTCCCGCGACGGACAGAACTGACCAATGGCAGGAGAGTTCCTCCGCTCGCTCGACCAATAGGAAGAGAGGAGGTCTATTTGAACGGTGAAAAGCGCGCTCGCCAACATTCGAGAGGGAAACAAAGAAGGAGTCAACATCTCGCTGCTGTTGGACGCGAAAACAACTGGAATACGTTTACTTTTCCCATCAGGATATTTTGGCAATCACAAGGTAACCGTGTCGCTCGCGTCACACAACGCCAGAAACATCCAGTTTGTCGTTTTACGTCAACGTAAGTTGTCAAGAGATAACGCTTGTTCTCGGCTAACTTGTGCGACGTTAGCTCGACTGTTAGCCACGCTCGGTTAGTGATGCTAACTGAAACTCGCTGTGTCTTTGGAAAATCGAGTATGTTCCGCTAACTTGCTTTATTTCTGACTTCTGAAAGATGACTAGTGTTTAAAAATCTTCTCCACCAGGTTTCCCCGTCATGTCTCACAAACAGATCTACTACTCTGATAAATACGACGATGAAAAGTACGAGTACAGGTGTGTATAGCTCTTACAACACGCAGGTTCACGTTGTCAGTGTGTCAACGCCGTCCTACAGCGGTTTAAACTGTGTTACCATGGAGGCATTGTAGACGAAGTGTCGTCACTCATGTAACACAATACGTCATAATGTATTTATCTGTTGCGTTCGTGTTTTGATCATATCCGCCCTCACTTTCTAACGTACAGGCATGTAATGCTACCCAAAGAGATCGCAAAGCGTGTACCCAAGACCCATTTGATGTCGGAGACCGAGTGGAGGAACCTGGGGGTCCAACAGAGCCAAGGATGGGTGCATTACATGATCCACCAGCCAGGTATCGTGTCTTGTTTTCAAACCAGTGATAATGTCTTAAACAGCTGATCTGAAAATATAGCAAACAAAGAAGTCCTAAATGTCTTGTCTTGATTTTGTTTTTTGATTTAAATTGTTTCATTGACCCTGTTCTGTTGCTGGGCTGGTGACAGGCTATTATGGGAAAAAAAGATCATACGTGTGTGTGTGTTTCACTAGTTAATATCATTAGTAGACTGCTTTGGACAAACAACTTAAAACAGTAACTGGACACCATTACGATATACAAGACAGACCCGATGGGGCCACTGGATGTATAATTCAGCTTGGAAACATGTCGCTGTAGATTTTAATGGGTTTCACAGAAGTACAGTGCCATAATAGATGAGCTGTCATAACCAATGCCTTGTGACTGCTCAAGTATGAAAATGGGATTCTAATCTAGATAACGACGTTAAAAGTTCAACAAAAGTGTAGAAAGTCTAGATATGACTGAGTCAAATATAAAACGGCTTCTGACATTTTTATGTTGGAGAAATTGTTTGCCTGCAGGTCACACGACATAAGTACAATGTCACATGCTAAATCTGCATTTAAAAAATGATCACAAGCTGAAGCTAACCAGGCACATGATGCAGTGTTTGCTGATATGACAGTGATGATGTAAATTTGCATGTAACTGAACTTGAGCACTGTAACCTTAAGTTCATGAAAAGTGGAAGCTGCTTGTATTTTAGCTTTCCCTATATTTTGTTTCCATAACACTTTTATAGCTATTACAGTTGCCATTAAGGGACCCACCCTATCTTGATGTGTTTTTTTTTTTTTTTTCAGGATGAAAAATTCATACTTAGGTTTTTTTTTTTTTTTTTTTAAAGATGTGGTGCAGATTAGTAAATGTTTCAATAGATTCAGTGACCACAGGCATATGGACAGCAGGTGTCAAACCCACCGCAACCCCCCCCCATTTAAAAACAATGGAACAGGAGTCAAGTTTCCCCAAAACATCACGACCGTTAAGTATCACTATCTCTGCTTACATGTTGTACCTTGTTCATTCTCCCCCCTCAGAGCCACACATCTTGCTGTTCCGGCGCCCTCTGCCCAGCCAAAAGTCATAAGGGGGAGATTCTCTGGGTCCTTGGAAGATCAGTCCTACTTATGTGCCACAGATCAACTCATCAAAATAGTGATCATGCTGTCAGATTACCAAGCTCTTGTGTGGTAGGTGACTTACTTGGGCTGACCGCGTTGGACCTGGAGGAGGACTATCGCATTTATGAACAGTGGTTGTGGAATGGAGTATGCGTTGAAGGAAAAGGGGAGGGGGAAAAAAAAAAAAAAATCACCCTACTCTTTGGGGGAAAAGACTTCTTCATGTGTTAACGACACGCCGTCTGCCAGAAACCTTCAAATCAGCTCACACTGTCTTTTTGACTTAACCTATCTGTCCAACTTGCTGAACCTGCTTGGATATTCCAGCTTTTTAGAACAACTGTTATAAGATGTGGGAAGTGAAACGTGTTAAAACATTTGAGTAATTCTAACAAAGTACATTCTGGGTTTGCGTCAGAACACAAGCCAAATGGAATAGTTGGATCCTACATTTAAGTTTGACTCTGAAACATCAAATTGCGGTTTTAAGTGACATGTTGCTGCTTGGTTTAAATGACACTGTAAATTGGCATTTAACAATTTTTGTCATGTGCATGGAAAGCCGCGTCCATAAGAGTCACGTAGATACTGGTTTTGATCCCTTTTCCATAAGAGCATATTATATTAGCTTTGGCCTACTTTAAAACAATCTTTCTGATGGGTCTGGTTGTACCAGTGCGCTGCTCAGTATTTATGAATGTGTTGCCCTTTATGAAATAAATGTAAACTTTTAAATCTTATTAGTGTGGACTTGTGTTTTGGCAGTATTTGAGTTTAACAACTACTGTACGATTACACAGAACCACTTGACACATGAAATTGCATGTGGTGGAACAAAAGGCAGTTGACAGCTTTGATGGCAGACACTACCCTAAAATGCTCTTATAGAATAAATCTGGATCATTGAGATGTTGGAAGGCCAATTGTGTTTATGTTGGTTTTTGGTATTAAATAATCTTGCATTAAGGCACTTGTTTTCATTGTCAAACTTGTTCTGAACACGCACTCTGACATTTGTTTGCCTTCTGTCCTTTTTTTTACAACCACATACTGAGCTGCTCTGCTGTCACTGAGGCAAACATTTAGCCTTGAATTGTTCTGTGAACTTGTGCCTTTTTGTAGGTATTACACATGTAGGTATAGAGCTGTTCTACCTTTCAGAATTATTAAAAAAAATCAATGTGGGCAAAGTTGTGATGATTTAGTCTTTTATGAAACAACTGAAATGTGTTGGATGAAATACTCTTCTGTACTCTTACAATGGTGTGTGTGATGGGGTTTGACCTTGTTTGGCAATATGAAAGAAATGCTAGGATATTGAATTACTACAAATGGCGCATGGAACTGACATTGCTGTTTTGCTTTGCAACAGTATCTGTCTGTATCAAAATGGAAACATTTACCTAAGTGCATTTACCCTTTTTATCACTAATGTATGCAAATATCTATTTTGAACAGTCAGTGCTGGCAAAAAAAACTGCACTTTTATCCTCACTTTGTTTCCCATCTGTCAATTAAAATAAATGGAAAATGCAACAACTCCATGTAGAAAATGTGATGTACACACTGGATTTACCCCTTACTGCCCTGTGTCTCTTAACAGCCCATCTATCCAAAATGAATAGATAACACTAACATAACACAATTCTGTTCATTCATGAGCTGCATGGCACGATGCACCCAGGGTAACCTTTGCATAATCATAAATGAATTGACCTGCACATGTGGCGGTAGGCTACGAAATTGGCGCTAGCTAACTGCTGGTAAAATATGAAGTGGCTGGCAGATTTTAAAGTGATTTACTATTGAGTAGCTGGTGAATTTGAACATTTGTCAGTGGCTGGTAGATGTTCACATTTTTAAAATGTCATATCACGTAATATATGCCATCTGATGCCTTTGTCATGATCATTATCATGATTTTACTGACTGTAAATATATAACATTGCATTTAATGATCTGTGGAGGAAATTCAATCAGGCCCGCAATGCTTTGTTTATTTTAACAGCTTTCTACTTTGGAGAATTTTGCTCATCGAGTTGTAGATGTGACTCCAGTCCTTGATGTTTCTGTATACCATTTCTTCAGTTAGACCAGACCCAGTTGGTACCAATCACTGATGGGGGAAAATAAAATGACTGAAAAGCTCAAGTGTTATCCCTGTTTACAACACCAAATCTATTTGCGTGTTACTAGAAGAAGTGTGAGCCAAAACCATGCTGTAGAATTGATAAGATAATCGGGTGTTTGGGCACATCACCTTACCTGTCATACTATAATGTGACGATGCCTACTGGGATAAAGCTGTAATCTGACAAAAAACGCAGGCGTGTATGCCAGACGGCACACCTCGTGTATGTGTGATATTATGGTACACAGTTGGTGTTCATCCAGTGGCACAGAGATGCTGCATCTGTTGTCTGGCACTGTGACTGGACTCTTGTTTTTCTAATTGCCTGTGATATCGCCAATCTAACAATTCCAGTGTCTCCCGTTTTATGTGTGATATGGCTTTCATCTACCGGTAAATGTCTCTGTGAGCTTAATGGACAAAATGTTTTACTGAATGGGCAAGTCGTTATGATGGCATACGTGCATAAAGGGAGAGGCAGGCACAGCATCTGCTGCATATTTAAAAGTTATACTTTTAAATAATTAAGGTTTTAATGAACAGGCAATAACAAAAACAATGTGGCTGGATAGTTCAGAGGGTCTGTTCTTTTGGTTTAGGTGTCAATTTTAAACAGGATTCAGCTTTTTATTAAAGAAATGATAAGTTGTCCTGCCCCCTGTAATTATTTTAACCCTGCAAGTAATCTATGAACTTACGTTAGATGCAACAGTTGCTTGGTGAGAGGCCAAAAGACTTCGACAGACAGATGGACGCCCTTAAAAATGTTATGACCACAAATAGTATAACAAATTACACCACTAACATGACGCCACCGATAAGGGAATACATTTGACTGAAGCAATAATTTTGTTTTTTAATATTACTGTCAGGGCTGCAAATTGTCCCATTAACCTGCTGATTATTTTCTCAATTTCTTGATATCAATCAATTTTCTTTCTATAAAATGACTTCATATAAAAAAAATCCAATCTCTTGTTGGGTTCCTCTGACTGGCAGAACAAAACCCAAAGATTTTCAGTTTAGTATCATAAATGTAGCAACTATTCCCATTTGAGGAGCTGGAACCACTGAATTTCAAGTATTTTTCCTGAATAATTGTAGCGGTGAGATACAGATAGATTGCAACCAACTAAATACCGGTCGTGTCTGTATTTGACAACCTGGGAATGAAAACGGGCTGTCTGAGAGTAGGCTCACGGTCTCACTTTGAGAACCCCTGGACTAATAATTGCAGGTCTATTTAGCTGACATTAAAGCAAATGATGTAGTTCACTTTTCTTGGTTGCTTCAGCAATAGCACCTCCAGGTTAGATAACACATGGTTGCTGAGGTGCCTGCAAGTGGGACAGAAAGTGGGGTAATACTTTCACAGAGCTTCAAGCTGTAGGAGCCTTTTAAGAGATGAAAGGTGGTAAAATACACTCTTAATTTCGTCACCATTCCACAATGTGTAGAACTTGGACAGCTTGTGCTATAAAAACTTGAAAACTAGAAATGACTGTCCATCCATATGTTGGTATGTTTTAACCCCCCACCCCATTGCTGAGGCAAAACAAGTAAAAAAAATAAATAAAAAAAATCATAATAAATAAAATAAACCTTGATTAATAATTGTTATAAGATATATATAAAAATACAAAATGCAAATAAAATGGGTTGCTCTAAACATGATGCATTCAGTCACTTTGGTAACAAGCTCAGGGATATCAAGAACAAAGCTTCTTGTACAAATTAACTATTAGTTGACATTTCTATTCACACAAGTCACACTTTATGATGTTATACACTCTGTATGCAATACATACAGTAGTTTAGAGTGCCATGTATTAAATGTAATCAATAGATTAGACTTAGTCTTTTTGGTAATTGGGGTTATTTTTAAAAATAATGCCAAGTTGTATCAAGAATAGTCACTTTCAATTTAAGCAGTTCAACCACAAAAAGGGCGGTGCTAAAGGGTTAATGTCTTATTAGTTATTAGTCTTTGAAAATAGTCTTTTTGTGGTTGTACAATATGTAAATCAAAGACGGTGCTCTGTTGCCTTAGGCTGAATGCTTCTAGACACTAATAATCAAAGTGAGACCAAATAATCCATTTACAAAACAGTTCAATGCAAAAATGAAATTCCCCATTCAAATACAGCAGGATATAAAACACAGACCCCCATGAAAAATCTATTTTCTGTGACACGCCACTTTTTTAAAATAAGTTTCACACTGTGGACTGTGGAGGGCAGTACAACACAACAACGGCAAAGAAGGAGACAATCTACATGAATTGAATTGGCTTTTTGCATATGTGCTGCATTGAACACAGTATGTAAACCAAATCACTCAGGGTTACATTTAGACTGCATCTGCACTTTCTATTTGTCTACATCACATTTTGTAAAACCATTTTTATAATGCGATGTTGCTCTGACCTAACCAAAGCAAATCTGTGTGCCCCAGATGCACACAGCCCAACAGTGGGTGCAAACAGAGCTTGTGGTGACCGTCGGACACCGTGGGTAGTAACTGTCCAACTTTGAGACTCACCGGTAATTGAGGAAAGAAAATGTGTTGTGAATCACAGGGAGATTTTCTGACAATTTCTGGAAAATGTAGAGGTAATCACTAGGCTGTGATGGTCAGCAATCTGAGCCTCCTGCTGAGATCCAGAGATGTGTGGTGGGCAGAATAAGATGTTTGACGCCTTAAGGTGGGAGAAAAAAGCTTGAGCGTCTGCGAGAGGTATCTATGAATCATGCTGAAAATTGGTTCCTGTTGGAGTCTTAAAGGTAAATGATAACCTAAATCTGTAAATGTATTTACAGAATAGCTAGGTGCAGCAAAATAACCCAGTCTATCTAGCCAGCAACCTTTTAATTTTATTATATAATGTTATTACTATTACTGTGCTCATTTAAAAAAAAAAAAAAGTGTTCAGAGGATGTTTAACCTTGAACTAAAATCTAGGGGTCAAATACTGAATGGTTGAAATTAGGGCTGCAACAGTTATTTCCATTATTTATTGAGCTTCAGCTTGTTGTCAGAAAACGTTGAAAATGGCCATTTCCTAAACCCAAGGTCTTCTAATGTCCTGTTTTGCAGAATCAAAATGAATATTTACATGAATAAACAGAATAAATGAAAGAAGATAATTTAACCAATTTATGTTAGTGGTTCTCAGACTTCCTCCGTCATGGCCCCCTATGGAAACGTATTCCCTCCCATGCATACCAATTTATTTTTTATCAACCATTAACACTACTGAGGAAACTGACAAAAAAGTGCAAAGTTGAACTTTTAAAACATTATTATCTTGATCAGTGGTTTCTAGGCCTCCCTGAGGGTTGCAGGATTATCAACAAGACATTAAAAATTGCAACACAAAATTAAATTTTTTCTCCAATCATTGCTCTCTTGTGAAATACTGTAGACTTTTACTTCTTCAAGCCTCTAAAAAGAATTAAAATTAACAATATGAGAAGGCAGAGTCCTCACTTCTAAGTCTTTATTTGAGCTGTTTCATATGTGTACATGGAACCCATGTCAACTCAAGGCTTGCTTAGTTTCCATTGCTTGATTTCAAAGCGCTTGATCATGAAACATTTGTCTTTAAATATATTTCTAAGTAGGTTCTTTTTTGCAAATTAGAAGTGCGTAAAGTTTCTACAAACGAAAGACACAAATGCTCAGAAGGACATCTTGCTCTCAAGCTTTTGTGAATTTTACTAACCGTTTTGCTTAATGGTGTATCATTTTTCATCCCTGTCAAAAATCTGTCGGTGTTGTTCTTTACATGTTGTTCTGCTGTCTGCATAAATCTTGCTAACCTTGCAGCAGCATCAGAACATTTCTTTGGTTCATGTTCAAATAACGCCCCACCATGTTTCTACAGCAGCCCAGATTAGAACGGACAAACTAAACACTGACTCTAGATAGGGCTGTTTTTCCGCAATCACCGTAGTTTCTACATGCTTGAAAGGTAAGCATTCAGTTGATTGCAATCTGCTGCTTCATTGCTAGATGCCACTAAATCCTACACACTGGTCTTGTAAAGTAAAAC